GGCTTTCCCATCTTCTTTCCACTCCTAGTGGGAGCAAGAAGAACAATCTCATTGGTTGTCCTGTGTACTGAGTAGCTGTTGAAAGCTGGACCAAACAGCTCTAGAAGATCCCTGAAGACCTTGTGGTCTACACCACAACAGTTGAGGAGCGCTTGGTTGTCCCCTGACTCAAAGAGGAAGACAAAGGGGGAGTCGGCATGTCTACGGATGGCTATTCTAGGTGTTCTTCTGTCCTTTCTGCGTCTCTCCTCATTGGACTTCTGTTTTCCATCCCATTCATCCTTCAAGCGTCCTCTATGCTTGATTGCCCAGTATATGCAAAGGGTCTCAATGACACCCATTGTGTCTCTTTTGTTTGCTGGGAGGCAACAATTGTCTTTTGTTTAGGGAACAGCTCAAATTTGTGAGGAGGGACGAGGTCTGACGAGGTCACGATTTCTAATTTTTACAGTGTTAAAAATTTCGTATTTTACTTAGTACCCCAAAAAATGGCGCCCGCGCGTGCCATTTTTGAATCCAGTCTTAATTATTTCTGTTGAGATTCCAAATTCCTTCAAGACCAGAAAGAGCGCCTAAAAAATGTCCGTTGGCCCCTATTTATTATGATTCCCGTTAAACTAAAAAGTCTAAACTAGACCATTTAGAATTTTAGACTTTCTAGACTAACGGGAATGACCCATTGTTGTGTGATACCAAGGATTGATACCGTAGCTCTTTACTTTTCTTGAAACAGAGGTCAATGACATAGATTCAAAGACTACTGTGTTGCTACGGTACGGAACTCGTACCCAAAGGAGATTTCAGATTTTTTGTTTTGTCTCCACGTACTTCGTACGTACGTACTCTATCCCTTTCGTAGTACAAACCGAGAAGACAGCAGAGTACGTACGTAGCTTCGTGCAGGGGTCTAAATTATGACCCCTGGCTTCGTGTTGTTCGCAATCGGTTTCCAGCAATGAGAAATGACCATGCTGATTTTTGATTTTTCGTCCCTTGGGCAAAAATGTTTCCAGCGCGGGAATCGAACGAGAGATATTAAACAGATGAAAGCTAAAAAGCTTCGGTTGAATATRCGACAAACTTTCAATATATAAATAAATGGAATGAAGAACTATGTCAGATTAAATTTGGTCCATGTTTTATGACGACGAAGTGCCATGAAGATCAATCAGCGCTTCACGAACTGCACTGAAGGAACCGAATGGCAGTGTTATCAAACTTCTACTTATGAACGTCATACAAAAGCAATGCGAAAACATAAAGGGAGTACGAAATGCAATATGATCAAATGCTAAGACTAGACATATCTTCCCAATTTTTTCAGAATAATGCTTAAAATAATTTTATAGTTCTGTTAGTTTTACAATAAGGAATGCAATGCTAGTGCTTGATCGTTCATGAATGTCGTGGCATTGCTTTGCTGTGCRGCAGAAGCTCCGCTCGTCGACGTTTCACGCGAAATGCTCTTCAGGATTGGAAAATAATCATCCCAGTGCATCGATCAAAAATTGGGATGGAAATGTTAAGTAGCATGTGGTGCTTAAAATTGAGTGCATCTCTATGCACGGTACAAGACAACGACGATAGGACGGGAACAAAAAGGATGATATTTTTTGTGTGTTTTGGCTGCGGGTTTCTGCTAGCATCTGATATGGATTCTTTGTGACAATCTTACCTGGACGGGGAGAAGAGGGATACAATGTGGCAACCGATCGGTCAGGATCTTTGCCACAATGTAGGAGTGATTTTTCATTGGTAACACACGCACTGATAGATATAGTGCTTGTGTGTTTTCCAAAGTTTGTTTCCTCATCCCAAATCTCCCCGTCGTGTTAAAGGAAACAGATACAATCTAGTTTCGCTTCATGCGGTGGTGGTTTGCGTGTGCATATATTTTTGGTGTTCTCGTGACGTCGCGTCATTAAAGATGAGATGTTGTGGGTTGATAATAGGAAGCCTCCTGTCGCAAGAGACTGGTTGCCTTTTTCTGACGATTTTCGGGGGCCACGGCGATTCCTTCAATAATGGATTCGACAGGCCGGTCTTCAAAGGAAATCTCATAAATAATCTTGATCAGAGGAAAATCGTTTGCCACATTCTTGGAGGAAATGAGCTTGAAAGCATCCTTTGCAGTAATTGTTCCCTGTAGTTTTTGTCCGTTCAGGAGGTCGGACTCAATCTGGCTCCAGAGGGCGCCGGAATCCTTGTGACTTCGAGCTGAATTGGAGGATGCGCGTGCCCGTGCAAAAGCCTCGGCGCATTTGCGGTTACGGCCTCCGTAGCATGTAGTAATTAGGTCAGCCATACCACAGGACTCGGTGAAGGTGTCGTCCCTCACTCCGTCAAAGAACATATGGCAAAACTTGGCCATCTCTCGCAGGCCCACCCTCAAAAGGGCGGCTTTGGTGTTTCCGCCCAAACCTACACCATCGACAAAACCGGCGCCGAGAGCAATGACGTTTTTCAGAGCACCGCAGACTTCGGCGCCGGCAACATCCGTGATGTGCTGCACGCGAAAGTGTGGCGGAGAATCAAAGAGTTGCCTTGTCATTTCGTCGGCAGGCGGACCAAAGTTGCTGGCAAGAGTAGATTCGCACATTTGGCCCTCGGCGACTTCCGACGCCACGTTGGCTCCCATGAGGACACCACAAGGAAAGTTGTTTCCCATGGCTTCGGAGATGCCCCGAGAAATGAGAACCGGCTCACCGGTTTCTTCGCAAAAGTCTGTGCGGGRTAAAATGAAGAAAAACAAACAAAAAAGAGGGGGGTAAGAGACAACGGGAGACGAATAGCAAATTCCAACACAAAGTGGTGAGCAGCATTGCGCTCAGCACAATTCAGCGCGAGAAAACTCACCAATGCCCTTGATAAGACTGACTCCTCGGCAGGAAGGATGGGCAGCCTCTCGGATGGTGGGGAGAAGTCTTGGTAAAAATTGATGCGGGAGGACGAAAATCAAGAGCGTTGCGTCCCTGCATGCTTCCGCCAGGTCCGCGACGGCCCGAACGTTGGAGGGCAGCTTGATGCCGGGCAAATACTTAACGTTCTCGTGCTGTTCGTTGATGATCTGGGTGAGCTTTCGTTTCTGCATCTGGCCTTCTTCCTCTACCTCGACCATTTCTTCGAAGACCCACATGTTCACTTGGGATTCGTAGAAGGCCAGGCGTTCGCAATTTCGACCAACAATTGTCGAAATGGCCGAACCCCAATTACCGCTGCCGATAATGCAGACCTTGTCAAGTTGATCGGAGGAATTCTGGGGGTTGCCCGTGAATGAGTCGTCCATGGGGTTTGCCATCTTGGAGTATTTCGTGTTTTTTTGAGTCGTTTGGAATAGGCTATTTGAGGGGGAAGTTGTTCTTGCCAAAGCGTAGCAGCTGTTGTCGAAAATAAAGAATGCTTGTAAAAGGATAGACAACAACCGGAGGTAGTAGTATGCTGAGGGGGGTTGCGTGTTAAGAGAATGTTTTGGTTTGGAAACCAATTGATGGCTAATGGTTTTGGTTCGTGAAGGAAGATTTTGGATTCTGGAATACTTTATGACCAAATGCATGCGGAAGTTTTGTCGTGTGGACAGTTTTCCGATTCTCACTCAGCGGCTCCGATCCGAAGTTGAACGAGGTCGCTATTTCGTTTTGCGTTGTTCGGTGCGTCCGCTTCGCACGCGATTCGGAAAAAGAAAATGGAGCAATGATCCGTGCAACCAGTAAGAATAAAATTGAGGCGTACCTCAATGTGACTGATGTGACTTTTTGTGTCCGTTTTTATGGACAAAGCTGGCAATCTACTGAGGTTTCTACGTAGAACGTACGAGGATGGGGTCGTATCTGTGATGATCCGAGCCTGCCTGCAAAAATTCAAAAGACCGGAATGTACTGTAGCTCTACTAGTGATTCTAACGAAGAAAAGGTGAAAGAAGAAAAAAGAGGAGTTTGGAGTTCAGAATTTTCACCTCGGAAAGAATTCTTTTTCGACCAATGAAAATACACTGGAACATATATGACGTGGAGCTGCGTGAACGACAGACGGAAGCAAGGCGTTTCATTCAATACCTATGTTATATATCTACTATCTGTATGATAATATGTCGTGACCCGAATGGACGATGCAAAACCAACGAAGAGGAACCCGACGCTCTTCAGATTTAGACTGCGAGAGAAAACGACGCCGTTGTCTGAATTCAGTACACTTACCGTGCAGCATGTGCCGTCCTGGAAAATACTTTGCGATGCTGCTGTTGAAATTTGTTCGATGACTTGTTTCGTATGTAGCGAAATCAAATTACAGGAATCGTTTTCTAGTTTGTGATGGTGTGTGGTACGAGGGCGTGAAAGGGCGATCGATCGATGATTTTTTGATGCGATGAAGGACACTCGAAAAACAAAGAACAAAAAGATAGATTTACTTTATTGCAACGGATTTTTTAAAAATAGATCGTCACCTTGCACCACGATATTCGTGATTAAAATTTAATCACGTACCATACTTCTACTACGAGGTACTACTACTTCTACTACGTAGTACTTCTACTTCTCAGAAGTAGAGGTAAAATATTACCCATACGCGTAGAAGTACCGGTACAATACCGTACCGGCCGGTATGTAGTAAGAAGTTCGAGGTAAGATCGAATGTGTATGAAAGGTATAGTCATAAGATAATGCATACGGTGACCGAAAAAATACAAGGAACCAATCCCGAACAACAGCAACAGCAGCAAAGCAACAACAAACGATGTATCGGATCGTACCGTACACTTGTACGAGCAAGAGTATCGTACTCTACGTTGTAATCGCATACTGTACCGGCCGTACATTCTGGAGGGTACGGTACATACAGTACGCCAACTACGAGTACCGTAGAGTAGTAGTACTATCGACACCATCGCCAAGCAACCAACAACAACATCCAAAAAGCACCAACACCGATTGCGACCGGTACAGCACGCCGTTGACAATCCCGATTCATACCAATTTAACCGAATAAAGGAAATTCATTCATCATGCCTTGGCAATCAATGGCCTCCCTCGGCGTCATCATTACGATGTTTAACGTTGTACCGGCGCTCAACGCGGGAGTTCAATACTTGGGTTACGGAGTGAGTTTATGTTGACTGTTTTTGAGTATTCATGGATGGTCGTATTTTGTTCTTCTCGAACGACAAAAATCTCCTATGTTTTGCATCGGATTGGCAGTGTTATTTTCTGTCTGCTCGCATTGCGGTTTGCTCCATTGATCGACCGATCGATTCGTCTGGGACGTTTTTTTGTGTTTTTTTTTCACCGAACAACCATCTCGCAGTTGCTTGTGTGTGCAACCTCATCACGAACATCGAAGACGCGCATGCTACCCACTTCTTCGGTCATATTGGCGAATTCTGTCTGTTCGATTGGAATAAGATTGGATTCGGCTCACGCAGAAAATTTTTCCTTGATGCTTTCGAAACTGAATTTCGCTTTCAACTGGTGCATGGCATCGCCCTCTCCTGCCTACCCAATATATACCTCTGAAAATTGAACAAATGGATCAAACCGAATGATTGGAAATGGGACCACGGATTCACACAAAACGAATCGGGATGGAATGTGACACGGATTGAACGAATCGCCTCTCGCAGAAAAAAAAGGAACTCGGACTGACCTCCAACGAATGGAACTATCGGATGTCGAAGAGAGACGCCGCCTACGAACAGCACGCTGCAAGGGTGCGGGCAGAGATGGATAAGCTCAGGGTCCAAAAGTCGTAAAACTGAAAGCAACGATAAAGATTAAATAAGGTGCACTTCGAAATACTGATGAAAACTCAGTGGCGAAGTAGAAATTAAATGCGAACTATCAAGCTATTGGTGTATTGTTGTGGTGCGACCAAATCACTGCGAAACATCGCAGCGTCTCGTGTCGTTTGCCTTTCTCTCGAACGAGCCCGACGAATGTTTTGCACTTTCTAATAGATGAGATGGTGGCACAGCTAAAGGCGAAAACCAGCGACCGTATTTGAAATCAGCGTGGAGGCTCAAAGTGGTATTTGGGTTTTTGCTCATCGTTCTAGTGTCGCTCTTCTATCGTAAGCCCAATGGGTCAGGTCGTACTGCCGGCGGCCACCTTTCTGCTTCATTGTAGTACACCTGCTACTAGTTGCTMTTTTATGGTTTCTGGACCCCCTCTTAGTTTTTGAGGAAGAGAGTTGCAAACCTGATGCTGGTTTTCAAACAAAGTGAAAAAGGGAACATTGGGCAGACAATACTACTAGTTCAGGTTTAATTCTGTCTATTGTTCATGTTTCCCTTTTCTGTTGAGACAAATAGAATCATGGGAAGATAATATTCTCTTTGTTGTTTAAAGAAGAAAGCAAATATACCCCAGGAAATATTCTCATTATGTAAACAAAGAGGGGCGGATGTTATTCTCTTTGATTCATTCTTGTTTCTAGGCTTTCCTGGTGCTAGCTCCAGACACTATTATTAKTAKTAGTAGTAGTAGTACTAGTACTAGTGGAGGAGAGCTGTAGTAGAAAGAAATAGTAGTAGTATTGTACAAGAAGTATCATTATCATGGATTTTTAAGCAGTAGAGTCAAGAAGAAGAAGAGGAGGAGGAAGAAAGGAATAGTACTGAGATTGCTTTAAACACTTCAAAACATCAAACATTTTATTGCTTTGCAGAAAGATTAAGTTTCCACCAAATTTTACCAATCAATACAGAGATATTATCCACCAAGACATGCCTTAATTTCCACTAGTACTACACTAGTAGCAGTAGCAGTACCAGTAAAAATCATTCATTAAAAAGGAACACCACTTTATCATAGATCGTACTAGTACTAATCTACCAGTCCCCTACTTTTGTTAATCTATATCTGCCAAACCTCCTGATTTCCATCATTTGTATTACTACTACTACTATTACTAGTAGTACAACTTGCAACTAAATACTATCAGTATGACATCTTCTTGTTGGTTTCCAGCAGCACCACAAGAATTTGTCCTCATTTGTCATGATCAGCACCAGCAGCATGAAAGCTGAGGACATCATATGGCAAATATGATCAAAACTGTCTTCCAGAAACAAGACGAACATGCATTTATTTTTTCTGTTTTCTGTTTTGAATGCCCCTACTGCCAGTGCTGGTAGTAGCTAAAAAGTTCTAAATTGTAAAAAGAATATTCCTGAAGAACCCAAGAAGTAGTACTACACTTAACTGTAAAACTTGGTGGAGGTAGTAGTACTATGATCCCTTATTCAATTGGGCTGAAAGGGGGGGAAAGGGCTGGAAAGGGGGTTGGTCGGGTTTCGACAGTTTTCGTTTGGCTCGTGGCAAGACTGACAGATAGGAAATCGGAGAAGGTTGGAGAGAGAGAACGAATGAATCACAACAAATCGTTTGATCATATGACACACCGTAGGCTTCGGTACGTATGCTACGCACGACAGATCGATCGTGCCTCTCGTAAAGTTGTATCTTTCTTCTTTCTCGTTTGTTGACATCGCCAGGTGAAAGCAAACACTTCTAGCTGAAATACCGAAGAAAGAACGAAGTCTTTCAAGATCGGCCGGGAAAACAACGACTGTTTTCTTCCTCTCATACTGTAGTTTCTATTGATATTCATGACATATCGGTAGTCTAAACACGAATACAACAACTTCATCAACGGATACTTTGATTTCATTCTACGGACAGACAATCACGCATAAAGACACGCACACAGACACGCATACAGACACAGACACGGACACGGACAAAGCACCATGGCTTCTTCCTCTACCGAGCAGCAGCAACAGGCGTCGTTGAATTCGCTGTTCCCCGACACTAACACCATAGATTCGATTTGCATCGGCTCCGGAAGGTTTTTGAGAGCCGTGTTGGTTCCGGCCCTGGCCGCTGCAGGATACCATCCGGCCGTCGTCCAAACCCGAAGCCGGGGGTTCCTCGATCATTCGCTGTCGGAGGTGGCTTCCGAGAACGGCAACAGTTCTTGGGCGTTTTCATACGAGGTCGACACGGTCAATTTCGACGGGAGCATCGAAACCACCAACGTTCCCTGCTGGGGTGCTGGGACGCTGGGGAGTCCCGAGGGGAAAAAAGACGTCCTAGAGCTCTGTGCGAGCGGTCTCTTGCTGTCCGACGAGAAGCCTCTGGTTCTTGGGCTCGGGGTCACGGAGGCCGGATTGTCGAGTTCGTCGACAAAAGTAATGGGCGACCTCTACGACGTCCTGGGTTCTCTGGCAACACGGAAGGCACCGCCCAAACAAATCTCCGTCATCAACACGGACAACGTGTCACAGAACGGCGACGTCATTCGAGGATTCATGGAGGAGCTAGCTACGAACGACGGCTCCACTCGTTCCGCTGCCATGCGGCAGTTCTTGGCCGATTCGGTGGTCTTTCACAACACGATGGTCGATCGGATCACCTCCCAGCGCCCCGGCTCCGATGGGCTTGTCCCGAGGGCCGAGCCAACGCCGCTCAAGGCCCTGGTCATCGAGGACCTTCGCCTTTGCCTGCCGCAATCCTTTCGCGAGACCGACGGGGAGCTCTTCCGGCGGTTCGGTGTGGTCGTCCGATCCTCGCACAAGGGACAGCTGGACGCCGACATTGCCCTCAAGCTGCGGGTGGCCAACGGAACCCACACGGCAATCGCTCACGCCATGGCCCTGTCGGGCCTCCCGAAAACGGACGCCCTGGTGTCCGGGACGGCGGCGTCGAAACTCCTGGTGGGATACCTCGACTCCTTTTTCGAGCACCAGATTCGAGCAGGCGTCGTTGCCACCGACGACTTCGACGCCGCTCCCGGCGAGGCGGAGGCCGTCTACGGCGACTGGAGGAAGCGCCTGACCCACGCCCACTTTGGGCTGTCGACCTTTTTCATCACCCAGAACGGCGCGGCCAAGGGGGGAATCCGCATCGGGCCGACCGTGGGGGACCTGCTCGGGCACGGCCTGCCGGTGGCGTGTTCCACCGCCTTTGCCCTCGCGGCGATCCTGCGGTTCCTGACCCCGGCGCACGAACGCGGTGCGAGCAGCGGCAGCAGCGGCGTGTATCGGGGGTGGCTGGACGGCGGCGGGGCAACCCCGAACGAGGAACAACGAGCCGTGGCCTACGCCGACGGCCTGTCCTACGATCTGGGAGAGGGGTGGTACGAGTTTCGGTGCGACTGCGGCGTGGAGTTGGACGGAGAACCGACGCCGCTCCCGGTGGCCCTGGCGGCAGCCGTGCACAGCGGCGGTCCCCGCCAGCCGCCGTCCTACGAGGCCGTCGTCGGTGCCTACCTGCGGGCACCCAAGGGGGGGAACCTCTCGGCCGTGGCCCGCTCGGCTCCCGGCTCGTTTTCTGCCCTCGCCGGGGCGGTGGCGGCGCTCTACGCTCGAATGGTGGCGGGGGACGCAGCGATCGATGTCCTGGGCGGACTGGACCTGGAGGCGAGCTGCGATTGCCTGGTGGACGGTAAGTGAGTTGCTAGTTGGGAACAAGGAATCCTTTTGTGTTGTTGCTTTGGGCGTGCCGTGCCGTGCCGTGCCTTGCTGCACAATTCCATGCAGTACAACAATGCGGTGATTGKAACGCAGCACGAAATTGAAGATTGGCTTCAACGAATGCTCGATCCAACCGGACACGAAATCCAATTATCAGCATAAACTATAACCTCAACAATTATTACGATGCTTTTTCATCCCGTAGGCGTCGGCAGTCATCATAGATTCGATGATAGTTCCCCTCTCCACTACAAAAAGGCCTCTATTCCAGATGATAGCCGACTGATGAAGACAAGGATTGGTCGGAGGGACCGCGAGACCATACCCGCGGTTGTCTTCTCGGAGGTATCCTCGGTCGTCGCCATCGATCTGCACACCCATCTTCTCCCTCCTACGCACGGGCCATTGTGCCTCTGGGGGATCGACGAATTGCTCACCTACCATTATTTAGTTGCGGAATACTTTGTCACAGCTCCCCCCTCGATTACACCAGAAAGTTTCTATGCCCTCAGCAAACAGAAACAGGCCGATTTGATCTGGAGGGCCTTGTTCATCGACCGCTCTCCGATCTCGGAGGCTTGCCGCGGGGTCATCACAACGTGTGTCACCCTCGGGCTTGCAACCGAGATCGAGAACCGCGATCTGGAGGCGATCCGGGAGTTTTACCGAACGTTTCGCAAGAAGGGCCTCGAGGGAACCGAGTCGTTCTCCAAACTGGTCTTTGAACTGGCCGGAGTGAAGCACGCTATCATGACCAACATTCCCTTCGAGCCTACCGAAACGAGACACTGGAGGCCAACTCCTAAGGAGTATTCCTCCCATTTTCGTTCGGCATGCCGCATCGATCCGTTTTTGGCCGGAAACCAAAAGGTTGTGGAGGCTACCCTGGCTGCTTCCGGCTACGATGTGACCCTAGAAGGAGCACGACAATTCCTGCGCGACTGGTGTGACACCATGAAGCCAGAATACGTAATGGCTTCTACGCCCCACGATTTCGTCTTGCCCGAGGATAGGGGATCTTCCGAACCCCGAGGGGAGAAAACCGGCGTGAACGAAGAAGCAATGAGGGAGCCCTTTGCCTTCGCAACCCTCGCCGCCTCGTCCAGGAACGATGCGGAGTGCAACGAGGGCGGCGCAGTCGATGAGCTGCCGAGCGTGATCGACGAAGACAGTGACTTTCTTGTGGACGTTTTGATGAGGGTTTGCGAAGAACGGGATCTCCCCATCGCCCTCAAGATCGGAGCGCACAGGGAGGTTAATCCGAGCCTCCTCCAGGCCGGAGACGGAGTGGTCGCCTTTGCCGATGCGGGCGTCCTGGCACGACTCTGCACTCGCTTTCCAAAGGTTCGCTTCTTGGCCACATTTTTGTCGCGTACCAACCAGCACGAGGCCTGCGTACTAGCCACCAAGTTTCGCAATCTGCACCTGTACGGCTGCTGGTGGTTCTGCAACAACCCGTCCATTATAAGGGAGATGACGGCCATGCGAATCGAGATGCTYGGAACGGCCTTTACGGCTCAACACTCAGACAGTCGCGTCCTCGACCAGCTTCTCTACAAGTGGCCCCACTCGAGGGCGGTCATTGCGGCCGTCCTAGCTAGTGAATACCAGAAATGTGTGGACTCGGGGTGGTCTATGACGCGGGAAGAGCTGAGGAGAGACATCCGCCGTCTTTTTGGATCGAGCTACGAAGAATTTATGGCGAAAAGCTTGGTGTAGCTGGTTTCAAAGGAGCACACTGAGCTACTTTTGAGCTTGGAATGGTTGTCTAGATGTAATGAAGAGCAGGGAGGAAACTGACTCCCATCCAGAAACTACTATTCATAGTACGGTATTCTGCTCCCAACCCAAATCAACTTAGTTATTTATCCATGCATCGTCTTTTAATCAACTGATACTCTGGGGAGTTCAGTAGTTGATAGTGTAGTTTACAGTTTCTAGAAACTCGTTGGTACAAATGGAATGGAATTTACTTTACTAATGTTACGTTTTGCGTTCTATATTTTACTAGGTTGGTTTTGAGTCGGCTGCACTTCACAGTCATGGCTGGTTGGATTCCTCATTGGACCAGCTACCTCGCTCCACGAAGCAAGCCAACAAGCCGATCGGTTGGTTCGGTATGAATATGTGAGGAACCGTCACATCACTCGGCAAAGTAGTGCTCGATTTCTCCCCACACGCGGAAGCTGGCGAGGGTTCGCAAAAAGGAAGCGATGGTGCTCCGATCGTCGTCCGAAAAGAATCCGTCATAATCGGTCCGCGACCGGAATTCGGTCCACTTGACATTCCCTCGCTTGTCGCCAGCGATTGGCTCCAGTTCGAGGAATTCCAGGACCGAGGCTGTCGTGGCACGGTAGGATTCCTCCCCACCGCCGTAGTCCTCGTAGTAGACCGTTAGAACGGGGAGCTTGTGGGGGACGTAGTCGAGCGCCTCGTGGAGAAGGTTGTGCCACTGGATGTAGCGAAAGAATTCTGCCTTGCAGGGAACGTTCGCCACGAGATCGTTCCAAGAAGAGGCTTGCATTGATGGTTGCGGTTGCGATTGTGCGGTGGGAATCCCGGACTTGGTCGACGCCAGGTGGTCACCGTTGCGGCGTGCATAGGACAGAGTGGGTTCGTCGTCGTTGCCGTCCTTCTGCGCAAAAAAGTCGCTGGCAAAAAACGCGGTTTCCCTTTCTTCCCGGTGCTTATTCTGGCTCGCGCAGAACCGCTGGAGGCCGACTCGGTCGTCTGGGTGGTTTTCCAGCCACTCTTGATCTTGCGTCGTGTTGGCGTCGCCGTGGTGCTTTCTCTCCAGGTGAAAGCGTGCAATCACGTTGTGAAGCGGATTCCGGTAGAGGTGGATCACGCGAGAGACGCGCTCGGGGGGGTAGGCCACGTCCACGAGGTTGCCTTTGGTGTCGACCGCGTGTCCCGACGCACAGTCCTGCAAAAATGAGACAGCGGGATGGATGGAAGAATAGCTCCTGCTAGTAGTTGTACCAGAAGGATCCTCCCCCGCCTGGTCCCTCGAACCCTCTCTGTATCCGTAGGCGTAGTCAGCGGGATTGCACTGGAAGCAGTATCCCCCGCAGTGAGTCTTGGTGATGACATACTTTCCGTAGGGGAGCGAGCGGTGGTGGAAGGATGTTTCTGAGTTGGGCATGAAGGGACCCTCCGGGTGGCGGGGGTAAATTGGCATCGAAGGTTCGTCCTTTGATCCATAGTTGGCCTCGATGCCGTAGTTGGTAGCAAAGGTAGTGTTGGTTGCCCGTGCTACCATGGTTAGGGTAAACGATGTCCCACTGTTTGGGAAGGAGGCAAGCCAGGCAATCTGGGGATCGAAGAGCGGTTCTGGTTGCGAGTCTGACGCCGACGACGAGGAAGAAGCACGTACGCGGTGGTTCAATTTCGATGCGACTGACTCCTTCAGAAAGTATTGGCGTTGTCCCTGCAACACATCGGTACTGTGCTCATTTTCGGAGCTTGCTACCACTGCGGGCGGTGCTTTGGGGCTGGTGTAGTGGTAGGTGGCCTTGTACGATTCGATGGGGATGCCCACGTTTGGATTCTCATTTGCGTTTTCGTCGCCGCTGCCGCCATGGTTGCCCTTGGTGCTCGGGTCCAACTCTATTTCCGGCTTGTGTATGAGGGTTTTCGTTTCGAAATCCCCTGTGAGCTCCATGGTCACCCGTCCCTGCTTCCGGACGTTGCTTCCAACGTATGCCGCGTTGCCTGCTGGCGCGTTGCTGTTCTGCGGATGCTTCTGTCGGTTCTGGTGCTGTTGCCGGTATCGATGGTAGCCATCCACCGATGCGTACACGAGGCATCCCACCACGAGGGCGGCTCTTAGGGTTCGATAGGATAGAGCAGTGCTCCCGAATCGAGACAGCGGCGGTTCGGGATCGCTTTCGCCCTCAGGTTCTAGCTCGCAGCAATACCGCGGTGTTGTCTTTCCGGCGCTGTTTTGGTGGTAGTGGTTGTGGCTGATGTTGTGATGAACATCGATGCGACTGCCTACGTTCTTGTTCATATTGTGGCCGTAGGCGTCATATACCTCTCTGTTGTTTTCCGGGCGAACCAGAAGTTCTTCCATGGTTCCAGGATTGGTGTCGTTGTTATTGTTCTTTGTCAGGTTTGGTTTTTGATGCTCCGGCGATGGGCGGATGGGTCTACCGTACCGTGGTGTCACGGCGTTTTTGTTCCGCTAAACGTAGGGAGCATGGTATCATACAGAGAGACCACACGGTGTCGCATCACCCTTATTCTATTCGGTTGTGTTATATATTGCATCGACGATCGACGATGATGGAAATTGTTGATTTTGTTCTAAATCGGACGATTAGTGGACGAATTTTTTTGCGTGACACCGGTCGACTGTCTTGGTGATCGCGTCGGTTCGTAGACGCGCTGGCTACTCGACGCGAGCACTTGGGGAGCTCAACAGTTACGTACGGTACCCTAGTACTGTATGACAGATGATGACGAAAACCGCACGCACTCGGATTTTTCCATCCGACATCTCCGAGTCATTTGGTAGTACGGGGTACGGTACTGTACGCGTAGATGAGGAATACCTATTGGTACACACATACGTATGTACGAGTAGTCTTATCCACAGGTGTTTGAAACGTACGAAAAGTGTCTCTAAAACGGTTTTCGGCGTTAATTTAGAGTTAGGGATAATACTAAAATTAGGTAGGAATCAAGCAATCTGATTGGCTAATTAGATAGATCAAAATATCGATAATCTCCMAGTGTTCCCCCTTAACAGCTCATTTTCAGTGTAGAATCCTACGGCAGATTTGTACCAGGAATGAATTTTTGMTTGATTTTTTGTTTTGATTTACAGTACATATGAATACTATGAGTATTGAGCTCCTCCCTCCGGTTCGGTTTCCGTCGCTGATAACACTGTGTGGTGCAACTTGTGAATGCTCTAAGAGTCATCGAGAGTGCAGGTAAGCAGCATCCTTGCATAAAGTGCACTACATACTGAATAGTCTCAACTAGACTCGTGTTGTTGTTCTTGAAAGAAGCCAGCAGCAACAAGAACAAACAGTGTTCTTGTTACTACTACTACGGAGGGATGTATCGAGCAGAGTTGGATGCCTTGGATCCAAGGAATTCGCTATCGACGAAGTTTTGGGACCAGCTATCTGGGACCTTGCCAAGCAGCATGTAATAGTAAATATCATGCAGTTCGTTGGGAATCAAATTCTTCTTTTGTGAAATAAAGTATCCGTCCACTGCTTCTTCCTCGTCATCAACCGATTCTCCGACAGGGATATCCTCTAGGAGTTTGGTTCTTGTTCCGAAAGAACTGTAACGGCCTCGGGGAGCTCTCCG